TGTCCTCGGGGACTTTAACAAAGGAAATCTCACCCATGAACTTCCTAAATACAGACAGTTTATTAAATGCCCACCAGAGAGGAGAACACGCTGGATCACTGTTACACCACAGTAAGCAGGGCTCATCACGCCGTCCCTCGTGCTGCACTGGGACACTCTGACCACGTCATGGTCCATCTGATTCCTGCATACAGGCAGAAACTAAAGCTCTGCAAACCTGTGCTGAGGGAATTCAAGAAGTGGACCAGTGAGGCGCTGGAGGATCTTCAGCGTGCTTTGACTGCACAGACTGGGATGTTTTCAGCTACTGACAGTCTGGATGAGTTCACAGAGGCTGTAACTTCCTACATCGGCTTCTGTGAGGACAGCTGTGTACCATCATGCACCAGGGTGAGTTACAACAACGACAAACCCTGGTTCACAGCTGAGCTCAGAACACTACGCCTGCAGAAGGATCAGGCATTTAGGAGTGGGGACAAAGACTTGTACACAGAGGCAAAATACAAGTTTAGCAAGGCGGTGAGAGACGCTAAACGACTGTACTCTGAGAAACTCCAACAACAGTTCTCAGCAAGTGACTCTGCTTCGGTTTGGAGAGGCCTCAAACACCTCACTAATGCAATGGGAAAATGATATGTGACCCTTTTAAATGCTTCATTTGTATAACCAGTTTATTAGTTGCAAGTGGTTAGTTCACAAAGGCCCTGACATAAGAACTGATGTCTCCCTCCTGGATTAGATGGTTCCAGCGTCATAGCTGTAGAGACTGTAGAGCTGTAGAGGGTTTGTTTGTGTCCGCTGCAGGTGGCTGTGATCCAGTACAGTGACACGCCTCGAATGGAGATTCCTCTGGGGCAACACCAGAGCGGAGCGAAGCTCATCCAGGCCATACAGAGCATCAGCTACCTGGGAGGAAACACACAGGCAGGACAGCATGCTCTCTCTGCACCTCTGTGCCCATCTGCATGCAGGTGTTAGAAGAATATTCTACAATCAGGAAGTGTTGGGCTCCAGTCTTCTGGATAAAGATCTGACTTTGACACGTTGTTTAAAGGCTGATGAATAAATCACATTAAGGGCGCGTTAAGAAAGGAGAAAACACAGCTGGACAGTGTTCATGGACTGTGAAACCGTTTTATTATCAAAACAATTATTGTTTAAATAATTAAATAATTCGCACATTCGTTGCGACTTATGAGGTCGAGTCCTGAGTAGAAGTACGCGGCTTTGAAGCAAATTTGGACCTTGTGGCAAAATGGTACAATTTCAGGCTCTTTGGGGAATGGAAAGATTTACATAGTATGTAATTGTATGAAAAATATCACAATGGCTTTAAAAAATGCAATTATTACATTTAGATGATTAATATAATTATAACATTTCATGACAATGAATAATAATACTTATTTCAATTGATATTTGACACTTGACGCAATATATGTGCATATGTCCTCAATGACCTGGTAGCTGCAACAATTGCCTCCCCGGGTTAATCGGGGCCTCGCATGCAGAAGACGGACAGCGAGCCACTTGTAAAATATCCTAAAGAGGAGCGACTCCACTCGAGCAGGTCAAAGGGTGCAAACATTCAGTCACCACAGGTGCACCACACAGCGATACCACAAGCACTTGTTTACAGGTTGTGCTGTTCCTACGGAGACTTTTAAAAGCATTTTTGTGTCCTTATAATTGTATTTGTACTCTGATGTGATGCAGCTCAATGGGTGGGAACCGGTGAGCATACCAGTTTACACACACACACAATCCCTCACAGCGTTGTGGGTTTTTCCGTCGGTTCTACCAGGTCCTCACTGTTCTCTGACTGTCTCCCAGACTGGCAGGGCCATCAAGTTTGCCGTGGACCACGTCTTCGCCTCCTCCAACAGAGCCAGGCAGGTCAAAAATCGCATTGCCGTCGTGGTCACTGATGGCAAATCTCAGGACGACGTGGTAAATGTCCCATTGCTGCGTTCAGGTGCCTCAGTGAAACCAAGTCATGGTTATTTGGGTGACCCATATTTGGAAGCCATGGAACCTCAACGAGGGAGCAGCTCCCAGCATGTTGGGGAAAGCTGTAATATTATTAATATTACATCTCTGGCACTGTTTTTCCAGCATCCACTCTACGGTCTAAATGGAAAGCCTCTCCACTATTCACTGCTGCCTGTGTCTCCTTAGGTGGATGCCAGTGTGGAGGCCCGAGCTCAGGGCATTACAGTGTTTGCTGTTGGAGTCGGCAGTGAGATCACCACCTCAGAGCTGGTATCCATCGCCAACAGGCCGTCATCTGCCTAAGTCCTGTACGCCGAAGATTACACCACCATTGACCTCATTCAGGGTTCCATGGAGCAGAAGCTCTGTGAAGGTTGATATCTAGTCCCTCTCTGTACTTGACATGTCTATAAGGACTCTTCTCAATTCTCTGTGTTACAAGTTCACGCCTTTCTTCAAACAATAACCTCGATGTGACTTGACAGATACATTCCATCATGCAGGTTGAAGTTGTGTCAATGAGTTTAGTCATAAGGGACTTGAGGAGCGCTGGGTACCTGGTAGTTCCTCCCACTTCCCATTACACTACATTACTATGCGTGTGTTAATTCCTTTAACAAGCACTTAATCATGTACCTCGTCCGCTTGCATTAGGTCAACATGTTCTAAGTTCTCACTGACTTGAGGGAAGAGCAGAGGGAAGCAGAGAGTAGCTGCAGACATTGTGTCCCCATGTAGGAGAAGCAGGACTTGACATCAATAAGGGCTTCATCTTCTTGCTTTCACTGGACGTTCCATGTTTGCGTCATGGGTTGAGCTCAGGCTTTGGCGTGAGGTTTGCGTAGCTGACCGAATGACCTCTCTTCTTTCTAGAGTCTGTTTGTCCAACACGAATCCCGGTGGCCTCTCGGGATGAGAAAGGCTTTGAGCTGCTGCTGGGCATGAACATTCAGAGGAGGCCAAGAAGATCCCTGGCTCTTTGAGTTGGAGCGCTTACGCTCTGACGGCC